TTCTTTCTTTCTTTCAAGAATATTTTTGTCGACAATTTTTATTATCAAAACCACACGGTTATTAATAATCTTCTAAACTATTTTGTATTAAAAATAAATTTCTTTTTTTAATAATTATATATATACGCTTAAATATTACTAAATAACGCAAATCTTTGTATATAACTGTTTAAATAACAAATAATACGATATATTATTATAATAAGCGAGCGAGTTGATTTTTTTTACTATAATTGTTTTCTAACAATCGGACAAGAATTTTCTTTTTCTGTGTCGAATTTAACTTTTACTTCTTTTTCTTTTTTTTAAAGAAAAGTTTTCTCTGTTAAGGCTCAGAACTTTTCAACCCACCCACGTATACAATTTTGTTTTTTTCTTTTTCTTTTTTTATTCCTTAAACTTTTCTTCCGTGGAATTAATTATTAATTAGGCAAATGAATGGCTCATAATTGTTTCGTATCTTAATCGTACATACGACAAACATATCCTCGAGTGTAAAGTAAGTTTTAACAACGCTACTTTAAACTCGTATAAAATTTGATAAAAGCAAGAACCGTTTGTTACACTTTCATATACATATATATACACATATTTATATATATATATATATATATTTTTTTTTTCTAAATGCGTTAGAATTAATCCCTATATCAATATGTTTCTTCTTATTCTTCTTCTTCTTCTTCTTCTTCTATCTAATTCTTCATCATCATTATCATCTTTATTATTTTTTTTCTTCTTTCTAATTTGGTCTTCGTTTCAACGAGAGAATTTCAAATCCAAAACTTGTGGCGAAAGACATTCGAAAGACATGAGAAAATTCGCAGGAACAATGTGCGTGCGTGTGTGTGTGTTTTTTGTTTGTTTGCGTTTGTCTAAACGTGTGTGTGTACTGTTTATATATTGATTGTTATATAATAAAACTCGACTGTTTACATAATAAAACTCGTTTAATCTTACAGAGATACGCGAAAGAGAACAAAAAAAAAATAAAAATTAAATATACTATATAGCCGCGAATATAATTAATGATAAATTCAAATGCAAGATGTGGAATTTAAAAAATAAAATTTTCTTTCTTTCTTTCTTTCTCTCTCTTATTTGAAGAAATTAATATGTGACATACTAATGGAAAAGAAATCTATACATGTATATAAAAATTTAAGAAGTTGTGAATATCAAAGTTCAATCTTTTAAACGTGTTTAAAAATTGAATGAAAGAAACATTTACCGTTGGATCAAATGATCTAGATATCCCAATGGAAAAAAAAAAAGAAAAATGTGAGAACAATGAAACTAAAATAATAATTCGATTTAAAACTGTAGTTATCGTTTTAAAAATTATAACTAATCACAAGTGCGATATTAAGAATAATTATTATCGTATATGTGTGAGCATTTTCCTAAATTCCTAATGCTTCCTTAGGCTCATGCGTTCATTCCAAGAATATAATATTCTTTTTTTTTAAATGAATATAAATTTACACACACAAAGGATATTTTTTTTTATTAATAATTAATTAAAATAATTCGCACAATTTGTTTCTTAAGTATTGAATTTGAACTTTGAAGATGATAGAATTTTCAAAGATAAAATAATAAATAAAACAAATCAATGAAAAAGTTAAATCATTATAAATCTTGAATTTTATATCAACTTTTACTTATTTACATTAGTGCAATCAAAAATATTGTGTTCTCTTACATAAATCCAAAAGTATAACTTGCATTTATATATATATTCATATATACATATATATTCATAAAAAAAAAAAATTATCTGATAATACATGTGTGATTGTGATATCAAATAAAAAACAAAAATATATATATATGTATATTCTTAAGAATAAACGCATGAACCCATCTAACACGACACATTATTCACAATGTTATTTCAAACGATTCTCTATCAAAGATTATTGTTATTATAATTATTATAATTATCATTATTATTATTACTACTATTATTATTATTTTCAGTTAAAATAATTTACTGAGGTTGCGTCAATGGTTTAAATTCATGAAATTAATTAGCGAATTAAATTCTAAATTAACAAAATATATATATGAATGTTTTTGTCGCATAACATCCTTCTTCTTCTTCTTCGGATGTGGGTTGGGTGTAGGGTGAGGGTGGGGGAGTAATGACCGGAGTAATGATAATCGCATAATTAGTAAAAAAGATCATTGGTAAATATGTTTAAAGCACAATAAGGGTGCTTACACGCGGCACTGACTTTTCTCTCTCTCTCTCTCTCACTCTCTCTCACCGCAGAGACAAATCTATGCGGCTCGGATATTTCTTTTACACAATTATTACAAATTTAACGTGTTTATCTTACAGGAGTAAAATATCGCAATTCAATTATTTACCCCGTTATTTTTCTTGTGTCTTGCAATAATAATGGTGCCAGGTCAAAGTTATTCATTTAGAATTTGTCTTTCATTTTGTACAATAATATATATTTTCAAACTTATTTTTCCTGTGTTTCTTTTCTTAAATATTTTGGTTCAAAATCAATTTGTTTTCACCGATGAACGATAGAATCGCATTTATATATATATATATATTTCTTTCTCGCACGTACACTCTCTTTCTCGCGCACGCTCTTGGCTGCTTTTTTTTTTAATCGATTAAATTTATGCACCGATAAGTCGATATGATAAGAGTATTTCTTTTTTTTTACTTTTGAAAACTAATCGCGAGATAGACATACCATACACACATGCATACGACATACATTCATTCGTACATTCACGCACGCACATGCATCCATACATACATACCATAGATTTAACGTTGATAATAACGAGAGCCTGGCACCATTACGTTTAATTAGATTACGAAACGTGTTAGTAGAAGAAGAAGACTCGCGCCAACCAACCAACAACACATATCCGTTTCGTATTCCAATTTTCAAACGTAGAATATATATATGTACAAGTCGCGCTAGATAAATCTACTATGTATATCGGTATTATCTTACTAATCTTAATGCTAATTCATCTTGCTGCACACACATGACGTGGTCCATGTGACACGTGAAGACACTGGGTGGTCAGTCGCTGTCCGAGCCCACTATAATTTTTTTTCTCTTTTTCGCTTGCTTTGGATTAACGATTTCCTCCTCCTATAGTTAAGTAAATAAAAGAAATAATTTGACAAATGTAAATCCCGTAGCGTAACAATAGAATTTATTTACCATTTTATTGATTTTATTTCAGTAGACGTATCGTGTAAATTGTTTACCTCACTGCTGGATGTGCTGTCTAGGTGATACCGAATTTGTTTTTTCGAACTCGTCCTTTCCCTCGTGTTGACGCCAACTTTTCTATTTCCCCCCTTGGCCCCACCGCCACCCCCGCCACCACCCGAAGCAGCAGCATGTTTTCTCGCGGAACTCGTAGGCGGGGGCGGAGGTGGTTCGTTTTCTTCGTTAACTTCCGCTAACGCGAACAGATCTCCATAATTCTTCCTTAGTGAATCGGTACCGGCAGCTTGGGCTTGTTGCAACGCTCTCTGCATTAGTTCCGTGTGATACAATTGTAACTCCGTAGAAGATGTACAATTCTGACGCAAATAATCTAAATGGCCTAAAACTTGTTCGCCGGTCGGTGGTCCAGATTGTTGGTTGTGTTTAGCTCCAGAACGTTTCCTTTTATTTGGACTAGTTGCTGGATAACGTGTACTTAATAGATTGGCTAATAATTCACCAAGTTTATCTTCGTAATCGCGACACCAGTAACGTAACGCTGAAACTACGAACAAGTCACCATCCACGTTCTGACGCGTGAGTAGTTGTCGTAAAAGCTCCAAAGTTGGTCTGCGCATAAACACAAAAAATAAAATACATAACAATGATTTGTACATTTTATATCTTATCAATCAATATGGATTTATAAATATTGATTATTATTTACTTTTCCTGTTTAAGCATGAGCAGTATCGGCGTTAATGCTTCCGAATGATCGCGAAATTGTAATTTCGGTAATACTGGCAAAAAATATTCAATGGGAAAATCATGCGCAGATATTAATTGCCAAAAAATGATCTGCTCGAAGGTTTCCCAATTTAAGCTTGCCGTTACTAATGACGTGAATGATTCTTTCTTCAACATTTTAAGATGACCTTGCATTATCTGACAAATTAATTCTTGTAATTGACCCGAATCGATGGTCGATACAACCAAGTGCATTAATTGAACGTTTCCAAGAGCCACGTTTGGAAATCCAGTGTATATGTCAGGCACCAAGTAACACATCATAGATATGTTGTCTTCGTGACACAACTATAAAAAGAGTAAGATATAACAATTATGATCAATATAAGAATCGTTGCATTATTGATTTAATTTTTCAATAACAGTTTATAATTACTTTTAAATCTGCGACTATACATGCGTCCAATTTTTTTTCTCTCTGCGCACAGAAGTCCTTATAAACGGAGGCTTTTACATCGTTTAACACGTTGCTGTAAAAAGCAAAAAAAACACGTACAACTTTGATGTATGACGAAAACGACGACGGGGATTTAAAAAAAACCATACAAAATACTTCAAGACTAACCTTGGTTCCCTTTCTCTTTTTTCTTCTTCTCTACCCCATACTTTTAAAAAATATAAAAGTAAATATCCTATCCTTGGTTGAATAGAATGCATTTCAGCGAGTACTCTAGCTAAAAGTTTTCTCCTATTATCTTCTTCTTTACACAACTGATAATGATTTCGAAACATAACAAACAATGGCGTGCTTATACTATCAGTCAATGATTCTTCGTTTAAATTATCCGATGGATATATCTGTGCTGTTATTTGAATTGACAGAATCGTCGACAAACAAGACGCTAAACCTGGCACAGTTTCTGCATCTATTTCGTCTTCTACGACCATTTGTACTATTCTCTCAATCGCTTGACATTTAATTTCATTATCACTCTCACTATGTAGGCTTCCAATGGCAGTTCTCAATTCTTCCGGTTCTAAAATAAGATTCAACTGAGAGGTGATATCTTCCTTTTTAGAAACGCAATTTGCATTTTTTTGTTCGTTCTTAAGTTTGACCGTAGCCAAAGGTACATCCTCTTCGTCTTCCTCCTCTTCTACTTTTGTAACTATTCTGTAAACATATTTATATATAATAAATATATATTTTAAAAATACATTTAACAAAAGAAGAAAAGGAAAATAATACACGAGATAATTTATATTCAATAAGAAACTCAAATAAAAACCTTAGTGGCATTTCTTCTTCCTCGTCACTGAATGCTGGTTCCGGATCCTGGCCCACGTGATTGTTTTCTACTGGCGTGTTTGTTGTATTATCCGTGATAAACCCTGAATTGAGATCCTTATTAAGATCTTCCATTTTACCTGAATATATCGGAACCTTATTACCTGCTTAAGAACATCATGCGAGAACCAAAGTTAGTAAGCGTTGAATGTGCTGAAAGCTAAATGACAGTGACAAAGAACTACAAAAATATAAGATGCAAAGTTAGTAGTAATTAGTTTGAAAAAGAAGCAATACCTTTCAAATTTTTATAATGATGTATAAAACAAAATATTAACAAGCACATGTTTAAATGTTAAAAAATAATCGACAAAAATAGGGATATGGAAATTACGGACTATTACAAGCTTATCTACATTGTGGTTTACAGTAATGATTATATTATACAAAGCTAATCAAGCATAAGATACGGAAAACAATTTCACCTAGATCTGCGTTAGGTGGTAAGCAAAATTCCTTGAAAGTTTCTCTAATTTTATTCCTTAATTCTCTATCCAATTTCGGACTATCGAATAGCGGATAAAGACTAGGTAATACGCGTTTTTCCAAAATTTGTCTCAATGATAAAAATATTCCGTTTCTAACTTTTTCTGTCAGTGCCGGATAAAAGTTTGGTATTATCTGTAAAAAAAAAAAGATTTAATTATTATTTACTCATGTCGTATTTGGGAAATCGATGTCGCACGATAAACAATAACGTATTTAAATAAACTTACTCTGCATAAAAAATCTAATAGCGTGGCAGTAACAGGTGGATGAGATCTCATTGAATTATGCATGACAAGAATAGCAGGCTCGATATTCATTATATTATCTTTCTCTGGGTCAAAGAAAAGCCAATCATAAAATAAAGCTAGTTTGGCGTTACTCGCAGCTACCGTAGAAGTACAAGTAGTGAATAACCACCCTATCACCGCCCACCGAGGTATTATATCCGAGCATAATAGTTCATTGGTCGGGTGTATAACGCCGACAATAAAACGTATTAAATCACACCTCAAAGATTGTGATTCGGGTGTTGCCAAGTACTGTCTTTGAAACCAATCTTGATAACGTTTGTGATTTCCAAAACGAACTTGACTCGTTAAAAAAACTAGTTTTCTTTCCATATCTGGAGTAAGCCTGGATTGAAGAAACCTTCGAGAAGTCCTTGTTTGTAAGAGTTGAAGAATTCCACTGAAGTTCGGAGATAGAGATTTTGGATTTAACAATATATCTTTCCAAAGTGCTTCAAACTCTGGTATCCTTGCAACATTTTGTAATAAGCGCACTAAATCCCTGCAAACAAGTATAATAAAATTAATGAAATAATATAAAATAAAAACAAAAATATATACAATAAATAAGTATGTACCTTCCGATAACTAAACAGTCCACTATCCTCTCTCTTAAAAGGGATACTGTAAAAGCTACTTCCTTCTGTCGAAGACTGGTCAGAAGAGGACTGTTGTGATCTTCTATTAATCGTAAATACGTATAAACAATAGATGCCACCAAAAAAGGAAATTTGTCCAGCCATGGCCGATTTTCTTGAAATATATCCAAGAGGGCCTCGACTAGGAACAGATTTTTTTGAGAGATATCTCCACCAGCCGCATGTCTCAATAAAGTTAAACAAAGATTATCAACATTAGCTACGCTAGTCCTTATCATTTCACGTAACAACCACAAAAGTTGACCTCGGGAAACATCATTCAGTCTGAGATACCTTTCAAGTACCAACTGATTAAGATGACCCAACACAATTGCAAGACCGTCTCTGGTTATAAGCGTTAAGTCTCTATAACTTTTAGAGGCATTCTGTTTATCTGTTAAAATAACAACTACCAATCCCAAGGAAACTTCTTCGTGCGTTTTGTCTTTGCATACTGCATTGTTCAGCGTATCATGTGCTTCTTTTTCCGAAAGGCCTGTAGTCAGATTTTGAAGTACGGCATAGCATCTTTCAAATTTCTGTAATCAACAATTACACGCACCCACACACACACGCGCATATGTATATATATAAATTTACACGTATATATAATATACGATATTTAGAATACATTTATATTAAAAATGTGAATGCATTTCTTTCTGTTGTCTTTTATTTTTTTAACACTAGTGATCATAATGCGATGACATCAAGATTACAAACAAAAACGAGATAGACCGATCGAATAAAAATCACGAATAAACTAATAATGCGAAGGGGGAAGAAGTAAAAAAAAGAATAAGAATAAGAATAAAAATAAACATAGTAAAGAGATTTAAAAATCCCGCTAAGACGCGTGAGTTTGACAGCAGCGCCACGCAGCAGCGACGTGCGCGACCATCGCAACAATGGCGGAGCCCCTCGCACTCGATACGTATCCACTGACTATTTCAAATATTTATGTTACCTCCTCCAGGTCGTCCTTGTTCTCGATGCAGGTTGTAGTGAGTAGCCGTGAGACGGGAGTTTTCGTTTGTTCCATCGTTGCTGGCTGATTCAGGCCAGATTCCGTAAATCGTCGTAGAAGGCCCTGTTGAGCCCTCAGCCCTCAGCCCTGTGCCTCTGCTCGCTTGTGCTCGCCTCTGTGCATCGTGATCGTCTCGCTGCTTGTTCCTTCTATCTCTATCTCTCTCTTTCTATTTCTCTTTCTCTCTCTCTCTCTTTCTCTATCTATCTATCCCTTTCCTTCTCTCCCGTCTCTCTCTTTCGAGTTTGCTCTCTCTCTCCTGTCTTCCTCCTCTCTACCCCCTCTCTCTATCGGTCGCGCGGTCTCGCCACTCTGTTTATTCCTCGGACCTCCCCGACTCCGTCAATCGTTCAGATGCGATTGCGCATTGATACATGCACCTCGCAGTTCCTCGGCCTCGCTTCGTGACGCGGTGCCTCCATATCCCCACCACCGAGCTTTACTTCGACCAATAGCCGAACGCCGACCTGCAAACATCGGCGCGCAGCGTTCTGAGACGAGAGGGGAGAAAAGTAGTGCGCCACGACAGTATCATTTAACCTGGTGCCCCTCGGCTAATTCTCAAATATTACTCGCGCGCGCGAATCCGCTTTCCTTACTCTTTCTTTAACGAATTTACTACTTTAAAGTATATGCTCGCTACTTTCCCGCCTATTACATTTGTCCTACCATTAACAAAAGATCGCATATTTTTATTTTTATTTCTTTCTTTTATTTTTACATCGTTTTATTATTTAATTATTAAGGAATTTTCTTTTTTGAATTATTTTATATATTTAATTATATTTTGAAATAAGAAAAATGTAAAGAAAATCTAAAAAACAAAAACAAACGGGATATTCTAAAAATCAACATTCATTTCTTATTCGTTTTATCGTATTTGGATTGTACACGTTAGTTTGCTTCCAAAAAGGCGAGTTAAGATGATTCACAAGGAGGAGGTGATTCAAGCGTAAATAACTTGCCTAAGCAGAAAGAGAGTATTATCGGAAAAGGAAATATCAAGGTAGAAGAGAACGCGTTTAGCAAGAACTTAAATAACACGTGAATTGTTACGTTCCTGAATTCACGGAGTGTGCGCATGCGCGTTAGAACGCGCAGATGCGAAGTAAACAAGTGGGGATAACGAACAGTGAGACTAATCGCATCAAGTCACTCGCTTCAAGCAGTCGTAAACGACGACGATGAGAGAGAGAAGGGAATTTCTGTCGTTCTGCTGACAAATGAAAAGATCATTTGTATTAATACGTTCACTCGTCATCCTATTAATTTATTTCTATTCATTTATCCATCTCTTTTGTGTCTCTCAACAAATTTCTACTGATAAATGACGAAGGTTTTGTTTAAATTTCTCCGCATATTAATTTAAATTCGATTCAAGTTGAATTTTCGAAACTTTAATATTTTGATTTGAAAAGTTTTAGTCGAAATAAAACGAGTGTGACTACTCTCTCATCCGTGAATGGAATGTGGTCCTTGTAATTATTCCAAGAATAATATTTCAGTGGAAAGACAATATGAATAGGCATAAATATATTGTACGTTAATGTCTAACAATATGCGAAAAAGAAAATATTTATATGCGTATAATTTAAATGCGATTGTCATTATTATACCATTATTATTAACACTCGTCACGAAACACTGTATAATATAAGCAGGAATGTAAAGTTATTGATGCATGATGAATGCATCGATGATATGCAGCTGTTGTTGTTATTGTTGTTGTTCTTGTTATTGTTCTTAATCGGTAGAGAAAAATATTGTAGATCTTATATATTACACAGTTGTCTTTACTGTATTTTAATGTAAGCAGCAGCAGGTCAAGCAAATAACCACGAGAGGTCAGCGTGCTAGGTTTGTAGAAAAGAACGCAACAATGTGCGTAATGAGTATGGCTGATGCCTTGGCCACGTGTACAACTGTAGATTCAAAGCTATATAATAACGATAAAATAGATTAAACAAATATTTGAAAGAATATTCTTACAATGTTATTTTTTTTTTTTTTACTTTTTATCATCGAATGCAAACGAATGAAAACGGGTCGTGAATGAATCACACTTACAATCGTGGAAATATTTTCAATTATCTTAGCCAACAATTGCGGCATATTATTTTTTTTTTCTCTCTCTCTCTCTCTCTCTCTTTTTCTTTTTCTTTCTTTGAAATTAATCATTGAAGAATATTATTTCCTTATAATCGATAGAAAATTAAGATCAAGATAAAATCTCGAATCGATCGAGGAAATATCATCATCGTATATTTATTTTTCTGATAAAATGTAAAATTTGTAAGTGTATGTATATATAAATATATGTAAAAGAAGAAAATGAATAAGAAGGAAACAAATAAATCACGCGTTTCCTTTTTTGTATCGAATCAACAGTTAAAGTATGGTTAAGAAAGTATTGTTCTAAAGAAGAAATATAGACATCGTCGATATTCGAATAAAATATTTAAAAACTCTGTGTATTATCCTAGGTCAAGCCAACAAGAAGAAGAAGTTGCGTTATCTAGAAGTAGAAATACTAACATAAGAGTTTAATTCCTAAGAGTTAAAGAAAGAAAGAGAAGATTTATATTTAGCTTTACCGAATGTGATGAGAAACGTATTGAGAAGAAGAAACAAGAGATGGAAGAAGATTGCCAGCTCAGCTCAGCTCAGCTCATCGCTTCGTCTTCTTTATTTAATCCTAAACTTACTAAAACATTAATATTAAAATCGAAAAAGAAAATATTCCGAAACAATTACAAACAGTTGAATTAATAGTTTTAGATATTTTCAAAAATAATAGCATAATAGTTTATTTCTTTTTAAATTGAGAAGGATAGTTTGAAAACGAGTCATTGTTAAATGTTAAGTAATACGATAAGAATATAATGGGAAAAAGTTTAGAATAATTGAGAATAGGATCAGGTTATTGGAGAAACCGTATCATTGTGTTTATAACTTGTTGGTAAAGAAAAATATAATCTCTGGTAAAAAGTCGTACGTCATAATTGTTCTCGATTAAAACAAAACCGTAACCGCGAATCTAAATAGTCCTACTAATGAAAATAACATTATTATCATGATCGTTATTATCATCATTGACGACGACAACGACGACAGCAACAACAACAAGACCATTAAAAACGTAATAAAACTAGCATTTAGGATCAATCTTTAAATCGCAACTAAACGTTAACCAATATTATTTATCGTTGTCGTTGATTAAATTAATTAAATTGTTAAACTCAAGCCCCTTTTTTCTTTTTAAGCCGTTATATAATTGTATTTATTTTGTAAGATAAAAGAAAAAGAAAAAAAAAGAACAAAATGTTTAACGCAAGTTGTTGAGTAAAAGCAAATACCGCAAGAGGTCAGCACATGCGTATGTGTGCATGTGCAAAGTATGCAATATAGCAATGTGCGTGTGCGTGCGTATATGCAAGTATAGCTAATAAGTATGGTTGTGAAAATCTTTCGCCACGTGTATATAGTGTAAATTTAAAGCTACAATTTAATGAATACTGTAACGACTTATATATATATATATACATCTATATATTACTTCCTGTAACTATTTAAGATGCCATATTGGCTAATATTTTGCTTATATTGCACAAAACAAAACGGGCTATTATAATATATATAAATGTAATTTTAAAGATAAATTCTTTTTTTGTTTTGTTTGTTAAAGGCAGTGCTTCATCAGTGCATTCCAGAATTTGTATATGTGTAAAAGTATTTGTTGAAATGAAAATGTTTAGAGACTACAGCTTTAGAGATTCGAGATTACTGAGATAGAATGGAATACAAAAATAGGAAGCACGATGGTTACAAGTGTTGCAGCACTCTTTTAAGTAGCAATTACTATTTTATACAATAAATCAAAGTCAACTTTATCGATAATGAAATAGCGATTATTTAAAACCTGCTATTAATAATCGCATGACCTCTTGCTTAATGATAACTAACATTAATAAGCATTTCAATCAATGACACAGTTCTTCAATAAACAGAATATTTTTGTTCAAACTAATGAAACATAAGTTGCTAGATAGAGAAGCAATGGCTATTGATAATAATAATCATTATTTATAGATGTGAAATATTAATTTTGTAGTAGATTAACCCTTTGAGTGTTATGAATGCGTATATATATATATATATTTGTTGATACGAATGCAAAGAATGCAATATCAGTTTGCATATTGTCGTTATTACTTTCTCTTTTACGGTTTTGAGGAATATTAACAACACCTTTTCACACCCCTGATGCCTCTCTCCTGTATCAACAGCACAGTGTTCCAAAATGGTCATCCATTAGAGTACTAACCGTGCCTATTATTGCTTAATATTAGTAATTTAACTTTCTTGTGAATAAAACTCTTCTTTTGTTTGGGAGAACAACGGTTATAATTTATTGTTAGCTGCACCTGATATAATTGATCTTTGTAATTCATGCTAGCAATAAAATATTCAATCTTTTGGAAGTGCTTCAATCAAGAATATTTTTCAGCACTCAAAGGGTTAAATGAAAAAAAATATATATTGCGATATACATGTACGTATATATGTATATATAGATCGTAATGTATAATAATGATTAGTTTATTGTTTGTAAATAATTTTACTTGATACATGCAGGTTCTTTCATTTCCATAAATAAATATTTGATTCATCGACACGTTGAATGAATATTTTTGATAATCTTTTTTTTTCTCTACGTATACGTACGTTACACAATATACTTAAATTGGTACGGCTAGTATTTTTATTTTTTCTTCAAAGTTGCATTTGCGGTCCTTAGACAGTTTCGATAATAATTATAATTTTTTTTTTCGATTATGTAAATGCAAAAGAAAAACAAATCATACAACTATCCCTTAAGAAGGCCTGCAAGTTCTTCATTGTTTTAAATAAATATACTTAAATACTTTGATATTGGCTAGTATTGATTTGAATAACTCCTAACTAATACGTTTATTAGATCAATGCACGTACGGACGATTACATGCGTCCGTTTTTTTGTTTTTTTTTTTCTTTTATTTTGCATACACGCATTTGCCACACCGATTAGATGTGCATCAATGAATGCACTTTTTAAATTGATCTCGTCGCGCTGAGATTTTAATGTGTAACGAAACATACCTCCTATTTTGACTTATACGTAATACGTTCGCGATCGACAGCCCGTTTACTTGTAACACATTTTAACGCGTTCTGCTGGCAAACGGACTATACACAAAAGTTGCACCGACATAATAGAATTATTTACATTTCATATAATAAAGATAAAAATGAGAGCTATTAAACTTATGATTGCACTTACTATGAAATTGAATTAGTGGTAAATTTGGTATTTATCCTTTTTTTTTCTTTTTTAATCCATTTTTTTTTAATCATTTTTTTCTTATTTTTTTTGCATTTGGCAAATTGCATTACGTAATTCGAATATGCGTAAGTTGAAGCATTATGTTTTACAAAGAACTATAGATCACTTTTGTATTAGCACTGTTTTTTTTTGTTTTTTTTTTTCTTTTTTTTTTTAAGGTTTTTTCTCTTTAAATCTTATTTCCCGAATATTAACCTCATAACTTGGATATAGTAACACTGTATTAATGATTCCCATTCGTTTACTGCGATATTAATTTTCTACAGCTCTTGTACATAATTTTTTTATATGTATGGATGCAATGCCAATGCTCTACCACGTAGCCCTCTTTGGCCGCCAACTCCACCCTTTGGTATAACGTATCCACCTGCGTGTCTTGTTGTTCCTTCTTCTTCTAAATTACCATTACTTTCTATTAAGTCGCGTAATGGCCAACAAGCGAGGTGACGTGACTTTCCATGACGTGCTAAGACATGATACCCTTGCCTACAAAAAAAAATATATTAAACAGGTTACACAGAGATTTATTCACTTCTTGTAATTAAATATTTGATCATGTCCAATTATGTATAGTTTTATACCTCGATGATATAAGTCCTACGAGTAATGCCCAATGAGCTTTATGACCTCTCTTCAAGCAGGGAGCATGATTGAAATCTGAATCATATGGTATAAGCACCATAGCTCCATGAGCTAATGCATGAGTTAAAGTATCTGGACATTGTTGTAAATCAACCAAAATATCCGGTCTATGATCGGGCAAATATTCAGCAGCCAAAGTACCCATGAAATCGACACTGTATACTTCTCCATGTTGAGTGAAACCTCTTACCCTAGCTTCTGCTAACAATTGACTAACAGAAACAGGTTTTGTATATTCTTGAGATGCCATTGCGAGGGCTACTAAACCGCATCTATTGAAATGAAACACAATATTAATCTCTCGAATACCAAAGAAAAAGTATTTTTCTTATCCATAATAAAATAAAACTCACTGTGGTCCATCTTGCAGAATAGGTTCGACTTGACAAAAGTAAGTCACTTCTGCATCCTTCAATTCATTACTTGTAATTAATTTTTCTATTTCTGCCTCTGCAGACGTAAGTGTGATTTTAGCCCAAGGGGGCAAAGAATCAGGGTCGCTCACCTCTGTTTTTTGGCACATAGGTGCCTCTGTTAAATTTGTTAATGACAGAGGTGGTGCTGGCATCTTTTAGCTTATAAATTGCTTAGAAATAATTGCTGTTTCTTTATCGATTTCAATATATATATATATATATATATATATATATATGTATATATGTATATATATTTAATCAAGTACTAGAGAATGTTAATGATGATGATTCAATGATCCACTGAGTAACACAGATTCCATAGAAAAATTGCAAGTTGTAAAGTTCAATAGCTTCGGTAACAAACATTATGCTTAAAAATAGCATAAGTCATGGTTATGATTAATTCGAGACGAAGCAAAAAGAAAAAGTCGAGAAAGAGAGTGAAAGAGAGAATTAAAAGAAATTCACTTCGGAGATTAATATTTCTTTTATCTTTCTCGAATTATTTAAGAAACTTTAGAACAATATCAACAATGTTTATAAAAAGGCTAACTTCAATCTAAAAAAATATATCATAAAATACGATTAACTTTTTCCGTGCTTTGTTATTTAACGAGATATATAACCATATGAAGATTAACATAAAAATATAATAAGTCACTCGTTTAACCTTGAAGATGTAAGAATTCGATTTAAATAACAGTTTCTGATTTGAACAATTAACTAGAAACTAATTGTCGATTCTTCTAGTAAATTTGAGAACGATCCTATTTGTCCTGTAAAATGCTATTTGAAATTGAATGCTTTGTTAATAGATTGAGATCTACATGTGCGCGCGCGCGCGTGTGTGTGAGAAATTGTACATAGGTACGTGAAGAATTATGTGTGTGTATGTATGCATGTATGTATGCTAGATAGTTTCCAGGTACCGTGTGATTTCACATTTTGTAAGAAGTTAAAAAATAACATAAGACTCGGACGATTTTTAATGGCAGTGCACTGCACATTTGACGACAAATGAATTAATAATCAATCATTTCCGTAATTTTTACGCAATTGCGTGTTACGTATTATCGTTAAAATTTGCTCATATACGAGAGTGTACTCGATTAGAATATTAATTTTTGGATTTTAAATGACGAGTAATGTACGATATTCTCTCTTTTTTTTCTTTCTTTCTTTCTTTTTTCTTTTCTTTCTCTTTATCCGTTTCGTCGCGAAGTTATATGACAGAGCCAACAACAAGGGGAAAAAAAACAAGCTTATTAGTATAATACGATTTTGACGTTCGTATCCCCCTTTCTTCCGTTCGATGAATAATGCACGTTCATTATGTAATTTTCGAATAAAACAAATGTATTAATAAACGAGGATAACGAGACGCGAGTTTTACGATGTATCCATCAAATACATTTTGCGATAAACGTAACCGCATTAAATCGCCCAAATATAATGACTTTTTCTTCAGACTACTTCTTAAACTGGCATGAGTAGGCACGAGTACTGCAACTCACGTCAAACCGAGACAAAGCATTACACGGATCACTGCAGACGACGACGTGTTTCCAATAACCAATGAAAAACACGGATTACTAGTGGATAAATAGGTCTCCATCTTGTTGCATTATGCACTTATAGGGATAATAACTAGATTACAGGAACATTATTTTTAGTTATATTATATATATATATATATAAAGAATTTATGTTATATTACTATATTTAAATAAATAATAATATTATATAAACATATGAATATTGTAAGAAGCTGAGACAATGCATTACACTGATTTTCAATAACCAATTAGAGGCACGGAATACTGAAGCTAGTGAAAAGGTTATAATAGCAGTTTACGACTCTTTCTCATCGTATAATTATTTATATTTAATATTAATTATTATGATTTAATTTTCTCTATATGAAAGTAAAAAATATATTGACATTTATATTGCTTCAAATATTTGCTATGAAATATGGGTCAAGATTTGGACAAATAAAAATGCAAATGCTAGAGAATAAAATTTCGGATTAAATTTTGTTGGAATATTTTTTGTTTTAATATTGGTAAGTCTGATCAGTGTTGTGATATGTCAATTCTTGTTGTCAATGTGTAATTATTTAAAAAAAATTAAAAAATATTTATTTATTAACACTTGTACTTAATTGTAATAGAATATATATATATAATTTATATTAAATATGTTATGAGAACATAACTTTTCTGCATACAATACAACTCCAGCGCCTCTCTTGACTATATGCACTATTATAGTTAACAATGTAAGTATGAAATATTTTTGCAAATATAATTAATTTTTACAAATAAAATATAAAATAATTACCTGATTGATATAATCAAGAGTTCTTACGAAATTCCAATTCTCGTTTTATTTGATATTTTTATTGTTGACAATAATAAAAATAATTATTATTTAAAGAAAATGGCCGAGAGTAACACTAAAACGTCAAAGGATATGTCATCCTCTGTGACAGAAGATACAGAAGAAAAGACAACAGCAGATATCAGTCGTTATTTTAATAATGCACCACGTACGATTTTTGACGATATCGTAGCACCAAACCAACAAAATTATTTTAATAGCCCATCAGAATCAGAGGATAATATTTCAAGGTTTAATTCAATTTTAAATAGTACACCCAATTTGTTCTCCGTTGATACTTTAATAGATAATGATCGAATGTCTGATCATGCAACGTACAGCGATTTGCACAGAGACGCTTGGATACCATCTGAACGTACTCGTAAAATATTACGCTCAGTTGCTACCTCAACGGTTGGCACAACCTTTCTTGAAAGAGACAATTTAACTATGCCAGGATTGGCATTACAAGGAGATATGCCTGATTTAATAAAAAATGGTGTTGCACATTTTCTAGGAGAAGACGAAGAGATGCAAAGAAATGTACTTACTGCCTCGGACGTCACTCAAGACGAACGCGGATTGAGAAAATTAATACAAACCGGTTGTTACAGAGCTGCCATTAATTTGTCAGGAAGACTTATTTCAATCTATGCTCAAGGTTATGGAAAAATAAATCAACCGAGTAAACATACTCCACATTCTTTACAATTATGGTACACCAGACTTTCCTTGTTAACTAAGTTGAAACAGAATGAATTGTTAGAAAAAGAATCTAAGCCGTTTGGAGATTTGGATAAGCCAGACATGTATTTTACATTTTATCCAGAATTATATGGTACCAGACCAGGTTCCATGGCTTCGTTTGCTTTCAGATTACTTTTAGCTGAAGTTCCATATTATTATGGTAAACCAAAGGAAGCATTAGACAAATTACACAAACTTTTGAGCATAGTCAATGAAATACTGTCAAATTTACAAGCCGATCTTACGGGAGACAAAATTGATGCCAAAGTTACCAATATGGAACAACAAAAAGATGCTATTGTACTGTGGTCACGCAGAAAATCAAGAATATTAATCTCTATAATTAACTGCGCCGTTGGAATGAAAAATTACATTTTGGCGGTAGATATATTGGAAGAATTGAGCAAATCACATGATTGGACAGCAGAGCAATTACAAATATTTCGATCTAGCATAGGAAGAATACATTTGTTTCTCGGGGATGTATCTACTGCAGAAATATTATTAAATAATAGAGTAATGCAAACGACTACGGTTACTGTTAGAGAATTGGTAGATAAAGGCTTAATAGCGGTAGCTAAAAACTCTTTTCAAGAAGCATTCAATTATTTTCAAGCAGCATCCTCTATGGATACCACTAACGTAATGCTGATCAATAATATGGCTGTTTGTCTTCTTTATACTGGTCAGCTTAAAGCTGCAGTACATTTGTATGAAAATGCGGTAGCAAGAAATCCTATGAAAAGCTTACAAGAACCAATATTATTGAACATGTGTACTTCCTACGAGTTACATACCAATCATTGTAAGCAAACCAAACTACATTTACTAAGGCAGCTAAATAAACACAAAGGTGATGCTATTGACATCCAGTGTTTAAAACTTGGCATGTAATTTTTTCAAACAGAAGAAAGAAAAATATCGTTAACAGAATTTAATAAATTTACGAGATGTTTAATATAAAAAAAGTAATAGGTATATCATATATATACACACTGTATATTTTAAAATAATTCTATCTCCCGGACTATATTCGTTTTGAAAAAATAAATATTCTTTTTCGTAAGAATTGTAGTCGTCCTGAATATATTACACATATTTAATTTTAATTTTAAGAAAAATAATTTGAGAACAAACATCGTCACAGAGGAAGAAGAGATGTATTAACAAACAAACAAAAATAATAAGAAATTCTACATTAGCGTCAAAGTAAAATAGCTTTTATTACATCAGGAAACGAAGACAATTTAATCAACGATCAACAAGTGCTAAAGTTCGTCCTCTCCATTACTATTTTTTTCTTTTATTCTTTCAATCTTTTCTATCTCAAATCCTTCCTTCGATTCCTGTATTATTTCTTATCATCTATTCTGCCGTCGTATCCGCATACCTCTCTCTCTCTCTCTCTCTTTCTCTCTCTCTCTCTCTCTCTCTCTCTCTCTCTTTCTCTCTCTCTCTTTGCATTTAATTGCTCCAACCAATCCAATCCAATCCAATCCAATCCAATTCTACAAATATGAATTCATCCTCTACTCGTTATTTAATATTTCGTTACTTTATTGACTTATTCCAAAAGCGTGTTTTAATTAACGTTTACTGAAAATATATATACTACTACGTAAGAATAGGAATACACGTCTTGAATTTCGTTCATTATTTTTCATTATTCGTTTAACGATTATCGTGCGTTACTGTTGTTAATTAAGCATATACAACTCTTTCTCTTTGCATATACCTTTTTATTTCCTTTTTTTTTCTTTCTTTCTCTTCACCCCTCACTCTCTCTCCCTCCTCTCTCTCACTCACCTTTCTCTGCCTTCTTCTTTCTCTTTCTCTTTCTCTCTCTCTCTCTCTCTCTCTCTCTCTCTTCCTTTCTCTTTTACCCACCCACCCATTCTCTCTCTTTCTCTCTCAGCGCACACACACAGAGCATACACTCACGCGCAAATGCTAGTTTTTAAGTAATTAACACCTTGCGCTATCGCGTTACATAATAGCACATGTTTGATCGAATTTCAAAACTGCATTCTCTCTCCCTGCAGAAAAAAAGGCACGAACTGGCGGAAAGGTCGGCCTAACTTTATAATATTTCATTTTTTTTTTATTTATTATGGATGGAACTTATACGTCACAATACATTATTCATTTCCTTTTCCCCCTTTTCTTTTTTTATTATTATTATTTTTTTTTTTAATAGTTTATTTCTTCTTATCTTATCTCCTCTTTGTCGATCTTTTTCTTTTACTTTAACTTTTCTTTCTTTATTTATTTTGTTCTTTTATATAATAATTCCGCAGTAACACACGAATGATCTCTGGATGATGACACTCTCCATCGATCAATTTTTATTCTAGTCAGCAAAGTAGCGTTTTAGGAGATACCTTATACATCGATTCTTCTTTTCTTTGTTTTTCTTTTGTTAAATAATTTATGATAATAATATATGCGTGTATTTGTTTGACGGCATTGTTGAGGTACATGGAGTATAGAAAATTAATAATCTTTGCGTAACTCGAAAATTCATTGTCAGAAATATATATATATATATATTTCATTTGTAAGATTTCAATCGCAATTAATCTCGTATTAATTTAAATTAATTAAATTCGTATTTAATAAGAAGAGAGATATTAAATTTAGGATAGAAATTATACACCTTTTATGATGTATAATATTTAGAAAAATAAAATGTCGGATTGGTTTATTGTATCTAGGAATGGAGATTAATTTGGCATTAATTTTGAAAATTAATTTTAAAAAGTAAAAATTAACTTATTAGTTTTAGTCTTATAGAAAATAAGCCGTAGTACTTTTATGTACATACATATATTACAAATACGTGTGTATGTGATACGTCCCATTAAGAAATTAATTTAGAAATCTAACTAAATCGCTGATTTAATATTCCATGGGATTTATTTTTTCTTTCTTTTTTATTTATTTATTTATTTTTTAATCGAGTCGTACCATATACTGTAAAATATAAAAATGACTCGATTAAAATTCATTGTAGTCAGTCAGCCTTTAGTATTTTACACTTGAATTTGTTTCTATTTCCAAATCAAATTCTTTTTAAAATTAACTTTTTTCTTGTTATTGTTTCGTATAGTCCATCAACTTATGAATCAAATAGAATGTTTACGCGAAGTATGAAATGTTTCGTTGGGATTGTTGCATTTTAGAGAACCAAAATTTTATAAATCGTCAAAAAAGAAAAAATCTTTCGAAGCTTGGCATTGCTCGATGCACCACTACGTTGCTAACTAAAATACGACCATTTTGTTTTCGATGAATATTTATCTCGTTTTGTTTCCTTTTTTCCACCTTTTTTTTCTCTCTTTCTCTCTCTTTTTCTCTCTTATATACCAAGTACGCGCTGTATATTACAATATCACCATAATAATAATAACATTCACGTCACTAGTTCTTTTTTTCCATTTTTTTTTTTTCCATTTTGGCGATTAAATGTAATGATGTATATAATATATATATATACTATATATTTACGTACCAATTTTTTAGTAAATTTATTTCTTTTTTTTTTTTTATTATTTTAATATTCCCTATAAGACGTATGTAAGTTTTTTATTATTTTTTCTTTTTTTTTTTTTTCTTTATTATATATCCTACCATGGTGTAATGCTTACGCTTTTATTTTTATTTTTTTATTCTAATAATCTAAAAGAAACGTTTTACATTATTGTCTGCGGTGGTTTTTTTTTTTTCTTCATTTTTTCGCTTGCATCATTTTATCTTTTCCCTTTCCTCGATTTTTTTTCTTTTCTTTTATCATGTACAATTTATCGCGTGTGTGTGTGTGTGTTTTTTTTAATATATTAATATTAATATTATTATTATTATTCTTTTTTTGGTACTTGCTTACGTAACATAGTCATGGAAAGCTCAATGGTATAACCACTGGTATTCATCGAGTACAGTTTTCTTTCTTTCTCTTTTAAATGCGAAGGATCTTAGTTACTCTCCGCGATACTCCTGAGGATCTTCTTATTTCGTAATCATAATCGATAACTGTTTCGCTGATTTAATAACAAAAATCATTTTTTGCGTATAAATTACATTGTGTAGCATTTTGTATTAAAAAAATATCACCTCCGGATCATCTCCTGTCGCACATACATACATACATACATACATACATATATTACGCATGTTTGTGTTGTGTAATTGTCACGTACATGTACAGAAAGAAGAGAACACCAAAAAACCAAAGAAAGAAAAATAAAACAAAAATTAAAAATAATACGAAAAAAGGATATATTGTAAGGAAAATATTGATTGTAAATAAATACTCTCTTAATTAGAAAAAAAAAGAAACAAAAAGAAAATTAAAGCAAGAAATAAATGATTACGCAAAAAAAAAGAAAAAGGATAAAATAAAAGAAATAAATTCCAAGTAATATTTATCTATATACACATATATATATATATATATATATCGCGATAACTATTATATTTTATTTATTTAGAAAAGCGGTTTTCTCATTATCGTTTTTTATTTTTGTTTATTTTAATTTGTTTTCTTTTCATTTCTTTTCTATAAGGAGAATCATGGAAGCAACCTTTGTTGGCCTTCGTTTAAGAAGAATTCGTTATTTTTTTTTTTTATTTTTTATATTCGAATTATTATCTTCTATTATAGTACGTTTTATTAATCGCGCCTTCGACAATTAGGCAAGCTCGGTCGTTCACGCAAGGCATCGTATGGTGCTTATTAAATCGTTGCTTCAACAATCGTTAACAATTTTTTTTTTATCTTCTTTCCTATTCTTTCCCTTTCTACTTTTTTTCCTTTTCCCTTTTTATTTTTTTTAAATTAATCCCTTTTTCGTTATCTTGTTTCTTTTATCCCCCACGTATTTTCCATTCATATTTTTCTTCTTCTTCTTTTCTTTTCTTTCTGTTTGTTTGTTTGTTTATTTATTTATTTATTTATTTATTATTATTTCATAGGATTATACATCATAATTTAGATTTAAAGGAATAACAAAGAGCTTCATATTCCGATTCATCAAAGCGACCTTAGCAGCTTGCACTGATCGATATTATTATCTAATGTCCTCTTTTTCTTTCTTTCTTTTAATTATTTAATGTACATATATCATATTTTATTTATATTTTTTTTTCTTGGAGCAAATGGAACGTGAATAAATCTATGTATGTATATATATACATATCTATATATATATGCAGGATGGTTTATTAGAAACGGATTATTCAGATATTGTTTTTTTTTTAAATTAATATTTTTACGTTGTACGAGTATTAATTAAATTGTTTTCATTTAATTGTAAACCTGTCACACACGTTATAATCAGTTGTTTCAATTTTCTAATAAACCAAATTCTATACGTATACATACATACAATAAATATATATATGTGTGCATGTGTGTCGTAAATGGGACACGCGTTATTATTGTCTTTTTAAGTAGTTTTTCCGGGCATTTTCTTTCGTTACTTTTTTTTCTTTTTTTACTTTTTTTTTTTCTTTCTTTTTTTAATGCATAATTTCATTAACGTACAATTTTAACTTATCGTTAAATACGACGAATTATTATTATTATCATTATTATTATTATTATTAATTTTTCCTTTTTTTTCGTTTTCGAACGAAAATGAGAAAAAAGCCGTAGAATTGTTTATGTGTATACGTGAACATTTGCGTGTGTGTATTTTACTTATAAGTTTTAAAGCATTTCTCATTTTTACATAGTATATCGTAATAATAATAATAATAATAATAATAATAATAATAACGATGCCCATTCGAATAAGAGTAATAATAAATCACTTATTCTAAAAGATTTTCTTTTCTTTTCTTTTTTCTGTTCTTTCTATATTTCAGCCAATAAATCATTCAGCCACACTTTGGTTGTCATATTCAATTTACTATGATCAGTGTTTTAACGAAGGAACAAACGAGATAATAAGTCGACAGATTTGTTGCTCGCACGACAAACGAATTGAGTGCAATTATTATTATTCGTGCAAGACGAAATAATAATAATAATAATAATAATAATAATAATAATAATAATCATAAACAAAACAAAATAAAATAAAACAACAAGAAATGATGGTGCACTTGTAGTATCTAATGTATTTAACTTTGGTAAAAATATATAAAGAAAAAAAGTATCATTTTTAATATAGAAATCGTACATAATGATAAAATAATACATAAACGATTTGAAAAAGAGAGAAAAAGAGCACAAAATTAAAGTAGGTAGAGGAAGAAGGACGGTGAATAAATGTAGAAATAATATTTTGTATCAGAAACAAATCTCGTCTTGCACTTGGGACTTAGGTTTTCGAACCAAAAAAAAAAGACATCCAATGTATTAGATTAGATCATTATCATCATCATGGCGTCGTATAATAGCCATCAATAATATATATATATATATATACGTATGTCATATCGTATATATAATATTATACGTTTATAATTATATAAAAATATATTTCTTAATTATTAACACTATATAATAAATGAGTATTATATAAGCATCATATTTTTCTTTCTCTTAATAATGGTCACGATGCCTGTCGCGGATAACCGAAGCCTTCTATTATAGTATTTCATGTAATTATGTATTTTTATATTTTTACGCGCGTGTGTAATGTGTGCTTGCGTGTGTGTATTTGCTTGTTTGTGTGTGAGAGGAAGTACAAGACCCGACATTATTATTTTTCTCGATTAACTTTTTCTTTTTTTTTATCGGTTGGTATTTGTCGCGAACTTAAATGTCGTTTTGATACATAATTAATTAATATATATTTGTTTTTATATGTATATTTTTATATATGGTATTTTTGCAATTTATCATTCTTCTTCTTCTTCTTCTTCTTCTTCCACTATTATTATCATCTTTTCTCTTTCTTTCCATATTTTTCTTATTTTCTTTTTTGGTTTCGTTATGTGTTTTAGTTATTTTCTTATTCTTCTTTCCTTTTTTTTTTCCTTACGCTCTTATTTTTTTTTTTTTTTGGTTAATTATTAGTTTTTTTTTCTTTTTTTGATAACAATATTATCACTTTATATCGTTTTGTTGGCTCGTGTAAATAAAAAGTTCGCATAAACTGTTATAAAATACACATTCGCGAGTATTATCAATATCTATGGAGTGTGTTTGTTTCTTTATTTCTTTCTTTCTTTCTTTCTTTATTTCATTTTCTTCTTATTCTTTTTTTAATTAACACGCTGAGCGAATAAAATCATATATATATATATATATATATATAGTATATACTATAAGATATAATATACATAATATTTTAGTATTTTTATTAACAAGATATTATATATTACCATGACAATAATAAGGAAACTAATTAATGTACAAATTCGTTAGCTACGTTCGCCTGGGGGAGTGTGATATTTAAAAAGTCCATTCGCATTTTTTAAGAACGCGAAGATTCTTCTTCATATATCTGAAAATAATTAAACGCATAAATACGAGTTTACGATATATAAATAAATAAATAAATAAAGAAAGAAAAAAAGAAAGAAAGAAAGAAAGAAAGATAGATGGAAAGAAAGAAAGAAAGAAAGAAAGAAAGAAAGAAAGAAAGAGACACGCATATAAAACGTCGATCGAAAATTATACTAGTTACTGAGAATTTACATTTTTTTATAAACTACACACACACACACACACACACACGTATATATATATTCTTTTTTGGTTTTTTTGTCGCTTTATTTTTTTATGTTATTTTTCGTTCAGTAAATTTTCATTCTTTCTCAAACCAACAGAAAATTATATATTATATATATATATATTTGCAATAAGAGTATGTATGTAGATATTAATTATAAAGAATCTCATTCGTTTCACTCCTCTCGTTGTTCGAAATGAGCTACTCTTTTTCTTTTTAGTTTATTTTATTTATCAAGCATTACAAAATTTTTAATCGAACGGGACAAACTTTTGGAAACATATTATTAATGATTTATACCACGTCGTTGTTGTTTACAAAAAAAATATATATATAAAAGAGGATCACATAACTTGCCAGAAAGAAAATAGAACATTTCGAAATTTGAAACGTACTTTAAAGTAAGGAGCTTGCAATTAAACGTTGTATTATTATTATTATTATTAAAGGGAAAAATTGTATGTTCAACTTTTCCCTTACTATGCATTTTAATTTTTAAATTTACTAGATAATTATATTATAATATATATATATATATATATATATATAAAGAAAAAGAGAGAGAGAGAGAGAGAAAGAAAGAAAGAAAATGTATGCGTGTTGTGCGTGTAAAGTTTGCACACATACATATATATGATAAAAATCACACCGACTACAAGAAAACTAATTCGTCATTTGATATTTCTTTCTTATTTTTGCAAAACTAAAGAAAAGAAAAAAGAAAGAAAAAAAGAAGTTACGCTAAAAGTACAAAAACTGGCGTCATCATAGTTCTTAAATAATACAGTGACATGATTATCTATATATATGTATATTAATATAAACATATTAACACACATTATTGACCTAATTGAAGGAACTTTAACGTAATTTTATAATCACGTTGACTGCAAGGCAAAATTCGACATGTTTTCTTTTTCTTCGTAAAAAAGAAAATTCTGAAAGATATAAAATAATTTATTATAGTGCCCCCGGATAATAAAAACTCTCTTCCCTCCTCCCCATAGCAGTCAACGGGTTGATATAAAAGAATTATGCAACTGTGTTGTCATATATGTAATAATATTAATTAATCTCGTTTGATATAAGTTAAACATTTTCGATATTACCGATCTCATTGAGAATTGTGATTATCTTTTTCGTTCAATGAATTTTTCTTAACACAACCATAAACGAGAGAGAGAGAGAGAGAGAGAGAGAGAGAAAGAGAGAGAGAGAGACAGAGAGACGTTGATGCATTAGGTCAACGATGTGTCGAACATGTTTTGTTTGTTCTTTTCCAAAGATGTATATTTTTACGCTACGAAAAAATTGTATTTCGTTAAAACCCAAGAGCATTGTTATCTACGACCGTTCAATTCATTCGTTTTCTTTTTTTTTCTCTTTTTATTATTATGAGTTAAATATTAATTGTGTTTGTCTAATTTAATTTTAAAAAATGAAAAAAAAATCGAACAAGCCCCAAGAGAAAGAGAAAAAAAGAGAGAGATAGAGAGAAATATTTCAAATACGAATAATTGAGAGAAAAAAAAGTGAGTAATAATTAATTTCATATATATATATAAAAAAAAAAGAAGAAGAAAGAAAAAAGTAAGACAACACACACACACGCAAGAATATTTTATTCGCGAACACCGTTGACGAAGGGCCTTGCAAATTGGTGTGAATGATGTCATTCGAGAAAGTCGTAAAAAAATTGACGTTAACTTGTAACTTTTAAACGATATTATTTTCAAAATCGAGGAAGATCTCAAGATCAATAAACAAAAAAAAAAGATAAAATGTTAATCGATTTTCAATGGTCGTTCGCAATAGAAATCACGCTACGCCTTCCAAATATATATATATATGCATATATTTATAATTACACACACATGATCGGTTAAAGATATGCAAAACGAAGCAAAAACGAAAACTACAATAATTTAAAAAAAGAAAAGAAAAGAAAAGAAAAATGTGTCTACGTATTCGTGTAAGGAAGATATTATTATTTTCTTATATTATTTATATTTTCTCATTCTCATATTATCGAATATATATATATATATATTAAAAATCATTCGAACGAACGAACGAATTATTAATTGGGGCAAGAATTTGAATATAATTATAAAATAAATTTAAAAAGAAAAAAGAGAACATAATTAGCGACGACGAAATTAATATTAAAACAAAGAAAAAGTGAATAAATGAAAAGGGGAAAAAAGGGATGATGATGATGATGATAATAATAATAATGACTTATC